CCAGCCATGCTGGCTGGGGAATTCTGGGAGTTGGCGTCCACACATCTCCAATCCACCAAGGTTGAGAAACACTGCCTTAAACATTACAAATTCAGAACAACTTTTGGCGGTCTTGGAGAGTTGCAACCAAAGATTTTGGTGGACAAATGTTCACCTCTAGCCTAAGTTAGACTATTATATCCTAGGGCGGTGGAGTGCTTTGGATCTAATTCTAAGAATGTGGTTCAGAGTACAAACCTAACACTGCTCTACAATGTCTTAAGGCTATCTTTTCTTTTCCTGAGAGTAAACAGCCCTGTTAAGTACTAGTAGTTGAATTTATTTATATATATATAAAAATTAAAAAAATAGCCTGGCTGCTAGGTTCAAGCTCTACCCTCTCGTTCTGCTTGCAGGATGGACCCCAAGCACCTCTTCTTGCTCCACACCCAACACGCATTTTCCAACCGCTTCCTCAATCTGTTTACTGATATGGATCGGATAACTGTCAAAACTGAAATGGGTATAATTGCTCTGTGTTTCTTATATTCCCCACTTCAAGGGAGGCTTCGTAAAGATTCTTGTTGCTGTGGGATGGATTTTTATTAAGGACCTTGGTATTTCAGGGCTTAATGCACTCCAATATTTTTAGGATGGTTTGTCAGGAAGAATTGATTGGCTGCTCACTCACCTTGACTTGACCAAGTGCGTGGACAAGGAAACAGACAAGCTGAGAAGAGAAGCAGTGGCTATCATCAAGAGTCAGAATGGAAGAACAGCACAGCCAGTTAAGTGGAAGCGTTGAGGATTTAATGGCTGTTGCCCTGTTCTCATCCATACCTCCATCTTTGCTAGACTAGTTTTCATTCTAGAAAACCATCTTTTGTAAGCAACACTACTCATGATTCTTTTAATTAGTCAACTGATGAACCCAACCCACAACATTTGGAAGTTTTGAAAGGCAGGCCTCATTTCTTACTAGAAAGGCTTCCTTTTCTTTTCTGTAGGAGGAATAAAAATATCCAAAGAGGCTAAACACTGCCTCCTGTATCAACCCATTCCCATTGTTTCAAAATTTCCCATCTCTACTACAGAGAGAGAAAACACTCTCCAACATAACTGAACGTTTATTAGATCTTCAAAGGCACAAATATTTCCAGATTCAAATTTCTTAAATAGAAAATTTTAAAGTTCATTAGAAAACAAGTTTTCAGCCCCTTTGAGAAACCCAGAAAGACAGGGGATCATTAAACTTAGAAAGCAAAGATATTCCAGGGAAGGGTGATTTATTTTTTTTCTGAAGTAGAACCCTTCAGCAGAGGTTAGGCCTCCTCTTAGTTTTCAACTCTCATCTGAACCATTCTACTTATCTACTTTACTTTGAAATATTCTACAAAAGAACATTTCCCTCCAACCAACCCAATCTTTGCAAATATTAATAGAGTATACTAAATCTATACTGTCTTGGCACTGAATTCTAAACTTCTTTCTTATTATAGGTTACAAATGGAAGAACAAGAAAAACATCTCCTATATAGTTCAAACTATCAGCATGTCCTACCATGTAAAAGGGAATTATCTGGCCTGCGGATTTTCCCCAATTAGCATTACAACCAACTTTATGTGTTGACTGCATTCACACAACATAATTATTCTGGTTACTGAATTCGCTGATTTTCTGAGTTTGCATACGATATCCAACTATAAACAAATGGGTTTCTACAACAGCACACAAATAGCTAAGCCAACAGAGTTGCTAAATCTTCTCCTATCCTGGGAAGTGTGTTGTGCAAATATAGCCATTCAGTCCACTCTTTTTAGTGAAAAATGGAACGGCCACATCTTCTCCAAAACCCTAAAACCCAACCCATTTGGAATTCAGTGGTGAACTGGCAGGGTTGATAGCAGGGAAAAAAAATTAAAACTAAAGAAAATCTGGATGGTTATACTGGTTGGTGTAACACCATACCCTGTTGCGCCATGACAAGGAAGTCTAGTGCAGGAGATGGTGAAGTAGGCTTCATGATCTTTCACCATCCAAGCTTTTTAGAGTCCTCTTGAAGATTTCTCTCTCTCTCCTTGCTCCCAAATAGCCTTGACTACTGGGGATATGTCTTAACCAACCTCTGGCTGATCTTGAAAGGCTAACTAGGACTGGACCTGAGTACTTGGGGACTACCTAGAAATCCCAGGGCCATTCATTACACTGGGAAGTTAAACATCCAGGAATAAGGCAGTGGCAAACCAGTTTTGTAACATTCCCAAGGAAACTGCACAGATGTGTTCATGAAGACATCAGGAACTGAGCTGGGCAGGTGGAAGACATTCCTCTTTTCAATCAATTGTCCATTGCCACCTAAGATTCTTTTAAGTGAATCTGAGGGTCTGAACCTAACACCTTCATCATTCAAAGAAGATGTCTACCACATAGTTGGATTAAAGGTAGATTTGCGTCTACTAGCAGATCTCTGGTGATCTGCAGTAGACCAGTATGGGTTACACACTCCCAAATGGATAAAAATAGTAGCAACTGAAATTGCTCCCCACATTTCCTAAATTGTACTTCCAAAATTAAATCAGTTGAATGCATCTAAGTGAGAATTCATATGTGGAAAGACAGCAGTCCTTTGACCTCTGGAACTCAGGATTAAATTCCTGGACACTGAAAACATTCATTCTGAAATCTGTAGCTTTTGCACCAGGCTCTGGTTGATGGCTCTTGGGATTTCTAGTACAAAGAAAGTAGATCCTATAGGATTTTCACTGTTCCTCTATGCTTCATCCCATAGTCTCTGTTTGTTTGGATTTAATTTTGCCTTTCTTTGCACTGTTTTCCTAGTGGCTCTAGATTTGCTCCCTATCCTGTCAAACAACTGCTGAACATGACTGAATTCCCAGTTACAATATCTCAAGATACTCTTTACAGCAGCAGGTGACATAAACAGAGAGGAGACTTCAAATTCGATGGCGTTCTCATTGCTCAGAATCAAAGGCTGACATTTTTGAGACTTGGGAAAAAAACAGAGACCTCTGACCATGTGCAGACAAGGTATTCTGGCTTTAATCTCAGGCACACTTAAAAGTAAGCCCCATTCAACTAACTGGGATCGGCTTTGAGGTAAACATGAACCTATCTGCAAAGTCTACCGAAGACAGATTCTCACCTCTGTTGCTTGTTGTGGCTGTTTCAATTTTTTTTAAAAAAACTGCAGCTCAGATTGTTCATTCTACATGAAGTTCCTTAGTGCATGGCAAGAGCCTCTTGTCCAAAGGCCATATCCCACAAGGCAGTTTTGTTATTTTTCCTAAGAGGGTTTTTTTTTTTTAAAGAACCCCATTACTTGTTTGCCTTAACGGTTTTAAGTGATGGCTCTAAAAGAAGATGTATAGCCTCAGGTTATCCATCCACTTCACTCGTGCCCTCTATGCTGGCAACAGCTTTTGGAAGATCCCATCAGAAAGAGTTTTTAGGAACGTTTTCACAAGATGCCAGAGATACGGAGATCTTCTCTTTGCTAATTACGGGCCCTGAATCCCAGACTATTTTTGCTTCTTGGTTGAATTGTAAGGGAAGGTAGGATCTCTTCAGCAAGAAAGAAAACCCATTCCCAGATGCACTGGCTTAAAATCCAATGGAGGAGTCCCCACGGAGAAAAAATTGCAGGTAGAAGATGACATCGCAGGCAGCTCCAAGAACCACGGTCAAAAGAGCTGAGCTGTTTCATGCTGTCCACCCTCCTTGTGGGATCCCCACAAGCATCCCAGTTATGATCCCTGGGCTGGCAGGGATCAGTTTTTGCCATGCAAGGTGAACAGTGGAGAGAATAAATAGCGTTGCACGAGTTGGATGAAGAAGGACTTTGAACATCTCAAAGTCTTACTTGCTTGGGGCATGGGAAGGAGTAAGTTGAATTCCAGCCTCTTTCTAAGACCATGGTGAGGGAGGCCAGTTCTATGGAGAAGGAACAAATCTGTAAGAAGGGGGCTAGAACTTCTAAGCTGTAGGCTCCAAGGAAGAGGGTTGGGCGTGTCACTCCTGCCTTTTCTATAGTCTATTGCTGGAGGAAGATCCCAGGGGGTCTGCTTGCCAACATCAGCCTTGAGATGTTGCTACTGCTTTGCCCTCCATTGTTGTTAATCAATTTCTTCGCCCATGTCTGGAAAGAAAGATGAAAGAAAAATAACTTGTCAGACACGGGATGGGTGTACATCTCAGGCAGTCTGCAATGACTGCTGCCAAAACACTGGGATGAGGCAGATGGGAGGGAGACCTCAAAGGACAACCTATCGCAGTCCATTCCTCACTCTACTCACTTGTTTTGACAGCCACTCCTATTTGGGATAGGCCCTGTAAACAGGGCTAAATATTTACACAATATTTAGCTCTATATTTCCAATGGTTCCTGAGCATGTGTTCTCACTCTGATTTAGCTTTGAGATGAAAGGGTGAAGCCTAATCAGAGTGAGGGCAAAGTGCCTTACTCTTGTGTCTCATGGGTAAAATCAAGACAGGGGGAGAAGTCTAGCCAAAAAGTGGGGTTTGGTCGTCGCCAAACTTTGCGAGAGAAGACGAAAGTGAGAAAATGGTATCAATTCTCCTGGAGAGGCCACAGAAAATAGTATCAATTCTCCTGGAGAGGCCACTTCTTTAATCTGGATCACTCTGTATGCAAAACAAATGGACTTCGTTGCTGAGCGATGGCCCCATTCCCATGGTTTGAAAGGACCTGGAGCTACGGCATTCGATATATATTTGCTGTGAAGCACAACTGTCCTTACCTTCTTTGATGTCCATGTTTTTCAGAGGTTGCAAGGCTGTCAAAGCAATGAAGAAGGGAGAAGGGATCGGTTTATTGAGCCCCAGAGGATGGTGCCAAACACACAGAGCGAAAACAGTAGCATGAAGTAGTAGATCTTAGTGGGTCTTAACATCTATCTACAAGTATTTCAAAGCAGAAGATTTGGCTTCACCATGTTCCAGGCTGGCCCAACTTTCAACCTTTAATATCATGTATAAAAGCAAGTATTGTACTGCCCCCTGCTGGACATTGTAAAATCTGTAATATTCTCCCTTCTAGACACCACTACGATGAAAATTCTGAGCTACCCATTTTGATTTATCTGGGTCCGTTTTCTGGGTCTTCTAAGGAAATATTGGGTGGGTTATCACAGGCATATGAAATATAATACAGGCCAGAAATGGAAGCCTCTCGAGAATATGTTGTTTCTTGCAGAAAGCTAACATATTCACAGACATCCCCCTCCGCTTCTGAATACTGCAGTGAGCCATTTGGTGGTACCGAAGCAGGCAGTGATGCTCAGCACCTAGGAAAGTGTTGACAGAAGCCAACCTGAGCAAGGTGCGCGCTTTGCTGTCCTACACAGGGAATGCCTGGCTTATACTGAAGTGCAGAGTGCAGTAATCAGACTTCATTAAAACATTTTCTTCATCTACAAGAGACCTTTCAAATACAAGGAAATATGAGGAGTCCTTGGTGCTCTCTGAGCTTGATTGTTGGCTTACAGACGTTTCATTACCCAACTAGGTAACATCATCAGTGCAACGGAGTGTGAGGTTCAAACCTCACACTCCCTTGCACTGATGATGTTATCTAGTTGGGTAATGAAACGTCTGCAAGCCATCAAGCTCAGAGAGCACCAAGGACTCCATGGTTCAACCTTGAGTTACAGATATTTTCTTCTATTGGAAGGAAATATGAGTCCAGGTGAGCAGGGTACCTCATATTGAGTAAGTCCATGAGCTCATCTGGTTCAAGCAATGGCTAAGCTCAAGTTGCGTTTGAGCAGCTGGTGGTTCTGAATTGTAGCAGATTTCACGGTGACTAGCAAGCACGAAAACAGGAGTGGGCGGCCCCAATGGCTTTATTATAGCCTTCGAAGTCCTTCTAACCTTGCTGTCAAAATGCAGGGATTTCTTGGTAAAAATCAGCAGCATGGTTTCTTAGCATTTGGGGTCAGAAAGCAATAGAAACTAGCTGCTTTAAACCTTGGTCACCAGTGCCAGAATCAACTCCACTGTAGCTACCCTGACAAAGCTAAGCAGGATCAGACCCAAATCTAGCGCAGCTCTCAAAGCCAAAGCAAAAACAAACTCTCTGTCCAGGGACAAGTTGACCCTCCCTGGGCTCAAAATGACGTCCTATTTCAAATGTTGCTGCTGAAAGAAAAAGAAAGGGGAAACCAGAAAATATTTTTTCCTGGTCTCCACATGGCTATTCATTTCTAGTCTGTTTCTAGTTCACTGACCCCTGTCTCACACCTGGATCTAGCTGATGGATCTCTGAAAGAAATTAAGAATAAAGTAGATCCCACAGAGCCCAAAATCCATCTACTCTGGATTTGGTAGGAGAGGAAAGATCTGGCAGCTGCATTTCTAGATTCCAAGCAGGAATTTCTTCCCATACAACGTAGAAGTAAGCTAACCAGAGACATTTCCGGGGTAAAATAAGTGCTTCACCACTGAGTCCTCCTTCATTATGTCCAAACTGGTGCTAATGCTCAGGGACGGTACCCTGGCAATAACCTAGGGCAAATCTCTGCCGAGAAGCATCCATCAGGAACGGACAGAAAATCAAAATGCTGACTGACCTGTCTTACATCCTTCCCCATCATTCTGCTCCTCTATTCCTGAAGGAGGAAAAAGATCAAGTTAAACAATTAAGTCACCACAGAGCTGCTGTCAATGCCAATGCTGTGATGGCTAGCACTGTTGAGGACCACCCTGAGTATGCACACTAATCAGATGACGCTCTTGAGACTCGTTCTTAGAGAATCACCTCTATACACACAAGCATGGGACTATAGATGTCGTACAGCTACTCTACTTTGGGCTGAGAGATCTTCTGCAGTTCACTGCAACTACTGATTCAAACCAAAGACTCATCTTACCCACCTTCCTACAGTGGCCAGCCAGACGTTTCCAGAAGCTTGCAAAGGATGCATCAAGCCAGAAGATTGGGCCCTGTAGCTTATATCCCCTTCCCCTATACATGATACTCAACAGGAGGGTTCCATGCAGCAGACCAGCCTTTACAAATAGATCCATGTTACATTATCAGTGTTCTCCAAGGTTGGCTTTGAGTTGCAGATGGTCCATTGCTCTATTAGGTAACTTCATTAATGAAGGAGTTTTGCAGAAGTCGAGTCTGATGATGTTCCTTCGTAGGGGAGTGAAATATCTGCAGCCCACAAGCCAAGTCTGGAGAACTCCAGCTATGCAACATGCCATCCTTGAGCTAGACATATTCACTACCATCACAAGAGATTGCGAGGAAATTTTACATTTATGCCCATGCTGGCTGGGGAATTCTGGGAGTTGAAGTCCACACATCTTCAAGTTGCCAGAGTTGAGAAACACTGTTATAGCCAATCTCAATGAAAGTAGTTCCAGCTTTCCTACAGAGTTGATTCTGGTCTGGTGGGGCTGACAGATCGTGTGCAAGGAATTCCCAGTCTTAACGCCAGCTCCAGCTTACGTCAGCCCTTTGAGGTAGGCCAGATCACGAAACAGACATTGCACGGCTTCCAGGAATGCCACTTTACTGTCGTGGGATATAATAACAGAATCTCAAAAGCTTGCCAGACTTATCCTCTGCCTCCTCTTATCCCCAACAGAATCAAAGTGCATTTCATCACTTCTTTCTCACACCTCTCCTTTCCCAGGACTGATCAAGGTCACCTCTACCACATACAACTCAACGCATTTCCTGTGCCCTCCAGCCAGTGAAAGATGGAGGAACACAGCCATCTGTGGTCCAGAGGAGAACCAACCATGTCAATGGCAAGCAAGTGGCACCTTGGGACAAAAAGGGGAGATGTTGCTTGAGGAGCCTCCAAAACTTGGAGCTGGCACTTAGGGGTTCCCATCTTGAGAAGGAAATCCTGTCCTTGCCAGCCACAGCATAGTGGGGAAGCTCTTGAAGAGCCTGTGGGGCAACGTTTGGAAGGACCCCTTGCTGAAGTCTCTGAACCGGGTTCTTCAGAGAAATATCCCCACCGTGACTACCGGGGGGTATACAGTGTCTATTTTGGGTGTTCACTTGTCCAATTATTCCAACACCGAAACCATTGCTAGCAAACATATTTTAGGCAAATTCCCACTGGGCTGTCGTAAGAGGACATATATGAAGGTATCCCCAGCTGAACGCCTGGAGCATCTGATTCCCCAAACTCTGTGCTGCAGTTCATTGGATACACTTTCTTTTCTTTTTTAATAATAGCTTTATTAAATTTTAGAAAGCAGAAAGATCAAAACTAACACTGTGAGTTCTAGGCCTCCCTTAGGCCTGAAAGCCGGCTGGGTGACTTTGGGCCAGTCCCTCTCTCTCAGCCCAGCCCACCTCACAGGGTTGTTGTTGTGAGGAAAATAGGAGGAGGAAGGAGGATTAGGTATGTTTGCCACCTTGAGTTATTCATAAAAATAATAAAGGCGGGATTAAGAAGAGAAAGAAAGAAAGAAAGAAAGAAAGAAAGAAAGAAAGAAAGAAAGAAAGAAAG